CAGGTAAAGAAGACATTCAATTTAATGTTTAATTCATTAACAAAAGTAAATATTGATCAGTCAATGAATATTTAATTTTGTTTCATTGTTAACATAATGCAGGAAGAATTCTTGTTCATACATTGCATTGATTTCATAGATTAATGGATGTAAGATTATTGAGTTTCTATGACAAAGAAACTCGAAATATATGCGCGATTTTGAAAAGATTCGCATTAACATGAATTTTCGCATCACTTGTTTTTCGAAAGAGTGCGTTGTTTTTCAGCATGCGTAACTAATTGGGAGTCCACAGGAAGGCCTTTTCTTCGACGAACCGCGTCCATGTAGCATTTAGCTCGATTATCACTGTCCGCCTTTTCACCAAAATGGAGGTATTCTTCCTCCGTGGATGGTACCCAATAAGGATCCTGTTCGATTACCTATAACGCAAGAATGTTACGTTACATTTAAAAGTTCATTTGAGCAATTAAAATATAAAATTTTTTAGAAAAGAAAATTCTTCGAAATTGTCATGAATTCTTTAATCATATGTCTTTAGATCTTTTATTAAATATTAAAGATACAATAAAAAATATTCAACACGTTGCTTAGAGTTTTAATCATTATTTTACAATTTCTAAGAATGTCTCAAATTTGTGAACACTTTAATTCACAAGAAAACGCGCTTACTTCCCAATGACTAAAAACTAGTTGCGGACTAGCCAATCCGGACGTTTGCGTCCGTAATTCTCTTGCGAGATGGAAGCTCTCTAGAACCGGTAGAGTGGCCAATACTCTGAATTGTCCACCGAAACCGTAAGCACTTTCCGTAGATACGATTCGGCCTTGTCTTTTACCGAACACAGCATACAATCTTCCTGCAACAAGAACAGTCATCATCAATTGTTGATGTCTCAGCATGAATATCGGTAATATCGCGATACAGAGATGATTGTCTCTTCGTTGCTCTAGCATTTCTTCGTGAGCATTCCTCTTACGGTGTCCTTGTACTTTTAATAATAATAAATATCTTCGAGTTTATTCCATGCGCGACAACACTCTACAAAATGTTTATACGATTTTATCTTAAGAATCTTAAGAATAAAGACAACTGCGAATACTTGGATGCAAGAATGAGACCTTCAAGTGATTAATTTTTTAAGAAGCTTGCATACTGGCATTGTTCTAGATAGTTTCTAGATTAACTGTTCTAGATTAACATCTTATCGTATTATATAAAAAAATAGATACGAGATATGAATCATTTGCAAGAATAAATTTCGAGAAATCAGCTAAAAAATACAGCTACCTTTCACAAAGATAAAGAATAATCACAAAAATGTCCTGATATATATTTGAAAAGATAAAATATACTAGCTGATAAAAAAAGATAAAACGTATTCTAGTATTTCTAGTAAATCTAGATATCTAGAGAAAGAAAAACAAAAGCAAAAAAGAGATTAAAAAAGAAAAAGGAGAAAGAAGAAAGCTATGAGATGTCAAACGAGATTCGGAATTGCGCGAGAAGTAAACGCATTTAAGTACGATTGGAAGATACAGGGAAGAGGAATTGGCTCGCTGGAAAGCGCGAGGGAAGAGAGAAAAGGATCGTGGAACACAGAATGTGTAGAAAACAGGGGATAATAGCAAAACAAAATGCGCGCGCGCTCGCGCGCGAAAGCAAACGGGCCAGCTTCTGGAGAAAGAGTAAAACACTCGTTAATACGCTCCCGGGGAGAGCGGAGAGGAATGTGCGCTTCGTACGGAGCACCCGTGGAAGAGAGGATGCGATACAAGGACAAACGGCAAACGGCGACGAGTCCCGAGAAAAAACGGCGACGAAAACGTTCGGTGAGGAGAGATAGAGAGGAGCCCCGGATAGAGAGTAGTAGTGGGGATGACGTAAGAGCCAAAGGACAGAGTGGAAGGGGGGGAGACAGGAGCAGTCAAGAATGAGAAGAGACTGAGGAGGGGGAGATGCCACGGGATGGCGCGGGAGGGAGGGACGGGAAGGGCGAAGGAAAAGGGGTGGGGGCATCCATTCATGCTTTACTTCTGGCTTTTAAGAGTCCAGTCGAGCGAACGGCATACCTTCGCATAGGCCGATCTCGTCGGGACGTTCTGTTTCTTCTCAGTTAGTTTTAGCGATCGCGCTCTATTTCTCAAGAGAATCTCCAGATCTCATAGGATCCGCAAAAAAGGAGTATCGAATACACGGACGATCGAATGAACGGATCAGATAGATAAGAGATTTCGAGGAACGATCGGCGTCTCGGTGAGAGTGCGCGAGTGCGATCAAACGCTCTATCAAATCCTGGAGGCTCCCCTCTCTCTTTTTCTCTCCAAGATCGGTTGATCGGATCGGAGAACCGTTCTTTCGCGTCTCTGGAATCGCAAGAAGAGGAGGATAAGAGGAGATCGCGGTAAACAAAGACACGTGACATTCTACTTTCGTGACTGAAAGAAAAAAAATTGTAAGATCTAAACGTGACTTCTGTACAAAGTTCGAATTGTGCGAGTTTCCAGCGGGCCTGGCTTGTAGAATCTGCGAATTCGGGAAAAAGTACGTGTCAGTCGATCCCCTCGGAACGAGCGATCGAGATTCATCGCGAAGCGATCGGAAAAACTCTTCTTTCCTCTCCTCTCTGATGATCGATCAATGAGAAGACTCGCGTTGATAAGATTCACGAAGATGGACTTCAAGTAGCAGTTGCGGACAACCGGCGAGCCTTCGAGTTTTCTTGATCCGTGTTGTATTTCTGCTATGAATATTCCCTGAGTATTCCTCCTCCCGCTCGTTCTGAACACCTTGTCGCGCAAATAAGAAGGTGAACGTATCGAAACCCCTACCATTCTTTTTATTGCATCCCCCCACCTGGGAGTAAAACACCTAACGCAGCAAACGTTCCCTCCGGAGAGAAAGAGAAAGAGAGAGAAAAAGGGAAAGAGAGACACACACAAACAAGCGATCGCCGATTCTCTCGACCGGGATTCTTTATCGGGAAGAACTTTGCTGTGCTTGCTGCGACACTGCGACACGATGACCGGTAAAACAATACGGCACCTGCTGTACACTCTGTTGATGATCGTCGGAGTCATCCGCCGAAGCAAATGCGAGGTTTTCGATCTGCCGTTGAGAATCGAGCACGACGAATATCTCAAGGAATATTTGTTCATCGATGAAAGCAAGTATCACGCTGACCTGCAGGAATTCGACGACACGACAGTCGAGATAGATCTGATCAATCGTAACCAGAAGCACATTCTGTCGCACGAGGAGCCCAAGGTGCTATACCAAGTCGGGGTAAGCCACTCCCCCATATCAACTTCGTCAATTTATTGTCATTTTACAATTCTTAAATTATGTAATCCATGTATATTACAATTATATATGTAGTTTCCTATTTTCTAATTCATTTTATATATATATATATATATA